ACATGCATGGATCTTTCTCCTCTCTAGTCAATCAACTCCTTCAGAGTTCATTGTGCAGTTCAGCATTTCCCTGCATCATATTCCATGTTAACACTTAGGGATAGTTAACACACACATTGACCAGAAGTTGCCGAACGTCTTTACCTTTAGGTAACCTGAATAAATTCCACAAACCTCATGAACTGTGTGATGAGAGTGCACTGTGCCGAGATGTTTTTAGAGTTTGGGCTCTGGAGCGTTTTCACTGACAGTCAGAGTTCATCTTTGTACCCGCACAGGTCACTAGGAGTCAGAATTGAGTCGATGGCAGTGAGTGTGTTGGTTTTGCTGTTTTAAGACCCATAGAAGAAAGTCAGTCAAGAAATGAATGAGCTGAACTTGAATGAAATACCTTAATACTTAAGCAATGTCCATCTTGATGTGATCATGATTGAATCAGCTTGGGGTAAACCTTCCAGAATCATCTAAACATTTATGATTGCACATCCACCCAACAGACGTGTGATTTTCCCGTGTTCCTTAGTGAGCACAAGCAGGTCTGAGTCAAAGATCATGCGGAGGCCGGAGGAGTGGGGGTGGTGAGAAACAGAACACTTATCGGCCAGAAAGGAGAAACTGCACTGTGACTTGCTCCAGGGATAGCATGCTAATCAGCCATGTAAACAGCTAAATATGGCAGGTGAATAAAGCGCTTCTGAATGGAACGATAAACCAGCCAGAGCCACTTCGGTGTAGTCAAACACCCTCGCTGGGGTGGCAGTGGGGGACAAATGACGTCAGAGAGGAATTCAGAACAGAAATGAAGAGAATCCTCAGGACAGGGAATTCAGAACTGAAAGGGAAGATGGAGCACAGTGACGTTTGGGTTAGATTATTTGGTCCCAGGCTTAGAAAAGTGTAAAGTTTTTTTGGCAAAAATCAAAACCCAGATTAATCAAACTTTATAAGAAGATAGGATTCTAATTATAGATAGGGATTCCTAAGTGCCTTTCAAGAAACCTATGACGTTTAGGAGCATGTTCTTTTTTTTTTTTTAATCATTTTATTAGGGGCTCATAGAACTCTTATCACAATCCATACATATATCAATTGTGTAAAGTACATTTGTACATTCATTGCCCTCATCATTCTCAAAACATTTGAGGAGCATGTTCTTCTAGAGAGGCCCAGCCCAGGGAAGAAAATTTAATACGGAGCCAATGGGCTAAGATTGCCCACTGTTCCCCTGAGCCATCCCAGACAAGGAGGAGCAGTGAAAAGGGGAGTCATTCACCAAATCAATAATGGGAGCTCAGCACCAAGGAGGAATCAATCACCCTTTCCTACCCGAATGCAGACAGGGCCTCCTTCGATGGAATAAACCAAAATCGCCATTGAGTCAACCGACTCAGAGCAACCCGGTATGGATCTCCAAGGCTTTGTAACTCTTTTACTGGAACAGACGGCCCAGCCTTTCTCCCAAGCAGTGGCTAGCAGACTTGCCAACCTCGAGGTTGGAAGTCCAGTGCTTATTCCATGGGGCCAGAGGCGTCCTTTTTAAGGAAAAGCGCATATACCGGTATATGATAGCAGTAGTCTAGCTCTCTTACCACCAGGGTTTATTTAGTCAGTACAACGAATGCTTCAGCTGGGATTTATTGCATGAGCTGATCCTGAAATTAATTGAATAAATCAGGCTTTTGCAAGGAAAAATTGAAATGAATAATTTCATATAGATATGACTTCAAGGACTGAGGTGCATGGTATTTTCAATTGCCTCCTATGCGTGTGAAAGTTCAACAATGAGTAAAGAAGGTGGCCAAAGAATTGAAGCATTTGAATGAAGGTGTTGCCCTGAGAGTAAACACATTTCTTGGAAGAAGTACAACCAGAATGCTCTTTAAAAAGGAGAATGGAGAGGCCTCATCTCGTGTACTTTGGGTACATTATCAGGAGAGTCCAGTCCTGGAGAAGAATACCATGCTACCTAGAGCGTCAACGAGAAAGGCCCTCAAGTACATGGATGGACACAGTGGCAGCAACAACAGGCTGGGTGGGAATGGCAAAGGGCCAGGCTGTCACTGCGAATCAGCGCTGACTCCACGGCACCGAACAAGAGGAACTCACCTAATCTTGAAACAAAACACTTCCCAAGTAGCTTCCACATTAAAAATAAAAATCTCCATTTTTAATAAAGCATGAACCAAATCACATACTTAACAGTGTAAATTTAGAGCCGACCCCCCCAATAGAAGGGGATGTGAGCACATAAAACTTTTATTTTTATTTATGCTATTTCCTACAGAAAGAAAATAAATTTTCAAGAGTACCAGCTTTTAAATGAATCCTCTGCAGCCTGTAATTTTGTGCTTATCCAGCAGTGCCCTCTGGTGTCCAAATGGATCATGTACATTTACAGCGCGGGCAGAACACACAGTGGGTTGGGGAGCGCTTCCCTTTGCAAACGGGAAAATTCCGTTGTCTTTCAATTCAGTTTCCATAAACTTTTTAAAGGGGTGTGTGTGTGTGTGTGTGTGTGTGTGTGTGTGTGTGTGTGTGTGTGTGTGAAATCTATAATCAGCAAACATGAATTCATCAAATATTTCTTGAGAGCCAACCACTCTCTGCCAGACACTATGGCAGGTGGTAGGAAACAGACTTAGAAAAACAGACCTGGCTCCTTATTCTGTCTTAAGGGCTCATAGTCCAACAAGGGTAACAAACGTAAATATGATTACAAAATCACCTCATCGAACAAATGTAGCCCTTCCCCAAGTTTCCCATGTAAGTGAACGGACGCTCTGGACTATTACCATGTTGGCTGACATTGGACTGGCTTCGGACAAAGCCTCCTTTGATCAAGCTGACAGGGGACATTCTGAAAGAGGACACATTCCAGGCCATCCAGTAGCACGGAGGCTTAGTGTTAAAGGTTTCTTTGAGGAAGCACTTTTCACAGTCAACCCCAAAGACACTTTTAGTCTCGACTGGCACCATTGAAATCTGACACACACTTCTGACACTTGTTAAACCTTGAACTTCTTTCTGGAAATGCAGCCTGTTTTGCTAGGACTACGATGGACAAAGGTCAAAAGATAATAAAATGGAAGAAGCCCCAAGGATTGATTACAAACTGTTTTAGGGTCCTTAGATTTGCACATAGCACACTAGAGTCACAGGAAAACAACATATTGTTGTGAATACTGTATCTTCTGTCCTGCTAGGGAAGCAGAGGGCATCTGAAGGAACTGCCAATGACTTCCATCAAGAATAAAAGCAAATACCATCAAAGGAAAAGTTCAAATCACTGAAGACCAAGAGCCATGCTAAGGAGCCCTGGCGGCACAGTGGTTACGCGTTCAGCTGCTAACCACGTCAGCAGTTCAGAAACACAAGCTACTCCTCAGGAGAAAGATGAGGCTCTCTGCCCCTGTAGAGTTAGTCTCAGAAATTCACAGGGGCGGTTCTACACTGCCCTCCAGGATCACTGAGTTGTTGAGTTGTAGGAACATGCTCTGTATTCGTTTGCAATATTCCTAATTTTTAACTACCTGTTTTGAATCAGGCGGCTTACAGAAATCAATTTTCTTTCCAACAATTTTTTAATTAAAAGATCGAGGGGGGGGCATCTTACAGCTCATATAACAATCTATACATCAATTGTAACAAGCATATTTGTAAATATGTTGCCATCATTAGTTTCTAAACATACATTTGAGCCCTTGGTATCAGGTCCTTTTTTTCCTCCCTCCCCCCTCCCACCCTTGTGAAGCCCCTTGATAAATTATAAATTTCATCTTATACTGGCTGCTATCTCCCTTTACCCAGTTTGTAGCCAATCTGCTTAATGTAACTGGCAGCATGATCCCCACAATGCACTATTCCTTAACCACTTCCTTCCTGTGTGTCTCACTTCTGGGCCTCTTTCCTAAACTTTCTGAATGTTATCCTTGGATAAATGCTGCATCTGATCTCAGATGACTGATTATTCTAAGGAGTGCACCCTTAATAGTGGTATTTTTCCTGATAGACCACTGTTTGGTTGAAACTTGAGCCACGGGAGCTAGTTTCGTGTCAGATCTGAAGGATGACTGAGTGCCATCGTCTTGGGGGTACTGGTCTCTATCCAATCATAAGTCTGGTCTTCCAAAAACTTTGGACTTTTATTCAAGGTTCCCCCTCTGTTCAGGGACATCTGATGTGTCACTTTCAGAGCAGTTAGTAGGGTGGCCAGGCACCATGCAGTCCGGCTCTCAAGGCCGTGGAGGCGACTGCTCCAGATGGTCCACTAATCCACTGGACGAATCTGTCCTCATGGCTTCAAGTGTCTTCACTGTTCTTTCTCCAGGTGGGGAGACACCAACAGCTGCACCTGAGATGGCCACTGTGGGTTTTTAAAAGGCCAGTACCTCCCTCCCCCCCCCCCGCCCCCCAAGTAAGATGTAGAACACTATGCGGGCTGTTATGTTAACCTTGGTACCCCCAAGACCAATCCTGATTTTGTCATTTTTTCCATTTTTATCATTGTGCCCTATTGAGCTGTGAAATTTTAGAATATGGGTGGGATCTTTGCCTTGTTTCTAACCAAAAGAATATGTAAAAGAAGACAGGATGTGATTCACTATGTTACATAGATGGTAAGGGCCATCTTCCTGAGACTCTCCCTTGCTGGACTGAGGATTGAGCCACCATGTCGAGAAAGACCAAGGAGGAAGGGGGGCTTCTCACCAACAACCCACTGAAACCCGAGGCCCTCAATCCAATAGTCGACAATGAACTGAAGACTGTGAACCACCGCAGGAGTGATGAGATGGAGCCTTCCTCAGTCTAACCTGAGACTGCAGCCTGGGAAACACCCGCCCAACTTGGACCACACACGTTCCAGAGGACCAATTAACCTGTGCTCCGGCCTCAGTCCACAGAACTGTGAGACAATTAGTGTGAGCTCTTTTAAGCTTCTAGTTTATGTAATATTTTAACAATAATACAGATTTGCAGAAAGGACACATAATTTCAAACACTTTAAATTTGAAAATGTTTTTATTATAAAAGTAATACAAATCATGGAAAGAAAAACTAAGATATTGGGAAAAGTCAGTCACCCATCCTACTATATCAGTTAGCAATGTGGCTTACTTTGTCATTTGTAAAGTTTATGCTTGGTGTATTATTTACAGCCATAATCATGCCTATCCATGTACTTTTGTACCTTCAGTTTTCACTAACAATTTATATTTTCATAATATTCATATATTCTGATAATTTTTAGTTAATGTGCCATTATAGGTATACATATATATGCTTAAAAAAAACTATTTCACTAGACTCGGGATTACCAAATGGACTAAATTTGGTCTAGAACTTTTTTTTTATAGTGTCCTAGTGAAGAACAAATTTTACATTTGTAAGGGGTTGTAAAGATAATATAAACTAGTCTGTGTAAAGCTTACAAAACCTAAATTATTTACTACCTGGTTCTACTTAAGATTGAAAACAAAAGGCTGGCCCTTGCCTTAGAGCAAGGTTTGGCAAATGTTGGCTGTGTGCTTATAAATGCAGTTTAACTGGAACAGACATGTGCCCTTTTGTTTACACATTGTCTATTTGCCTTCACACTACAAAGAGATGAGAAATTGTGACAGCTAATACATGGCTTGCAAATTGGAAAAGTTTTACCATCTGGCCTTTTACAAAAAAAAAAAAAAGAAGTTGTTGATCCTGCCCCCGGATTTTCAAGCGGTTTATCATTTGGGGCATTCCAAGTCATACTACTGGGCCCTCTGCGCGGAGAGCTTTCCGCACTCTGGACAAGAAGTTGGAAGAGATTAGTGAAAGTCGAACGGGAGTCCAGTTCATGAAAGCGTCTCTCTCATAGTGCTGTGTGTGCTACATCGGTGATGGTGCATCGGCGTGGGAGGAAACCCTTTACTTCTCTGCTCACTAGTCATCTTGATCCAGCATTCACGCTCTGCAGGAGCGAATTTTCAGTTTGGGCTTAAAGTCAATAAAAGTGAAAGTAAGAGCAATTGGGATATGAAAGCCAATGAGAAGAAACCTTGTACTTTCTACTGTGCGCTGCATAATAACTGTATTAAATTTTTATTAAAATGTACTTGTCAAATTGTTAAGCAACTTCGTATTTCATTTAAGAAGTACTTTATTTAAGAAGTGTCCTTCAGCTTAAAACCTTAATTAATCTTTATCTGCTACTGGAGAGTTTTATTCATTAAAACTCTCCAAGGGGCAAAGTGTATGTGTACTGCCACTCCAGGCTAGTTTTCGTGGTTAACAGGATGTGGGGGAGCCGAGTAAAGGAGAGAGATGGCTGACTCAATAAGAAGCCAACAACAGTGTTACCAATCAAGAAAGAGGCAGTGTTGAGTACTCTCAACACATCTTTGGCATATGTCTGTCTACAACTGTTAATTATGCTGTAATTAAACTCTCTCCAGATAAGAGCATTATAAGACAATTGTCTTATTTTCTATCTGGAAACACTTATTCTTCAGGAAGCAAACCTCTGGGAAACAAACCAGTTAAATCAAGACCCTTTCTGAGATGCAGCCGGCAGGTCTCAAATCCAGTCTTGTGTGAACAAAGCAAGCATCGGAATACGGCTGTCATCTTCTAAGAGAGATATTCTGCAACATAAAAATGATACAAAGATCAGAATGGACCTTTATTAAAATATACTTGTCAGATTGCTAAGCAGCTTAGCATTTCGTTAAGAAGTATCCTTTAGTTTAAAACTATAATTAATCTTTATCTGCTACCCAAGTTACTCATTCAATAACTGGTGACATTAAATACTCTGGGAAATGATAAATTTCTCAATAAGAGTAGTGGAATCAAGTTACTGTTTCAGAAATAACTAGGAACATATTACTTTGAGTTAAATACAGGCAGTTGTCTAAGGTATAAAAATGAAACTTTTGTGTTTCTTAAATTTCTTCACATTACTAAAGAAGAGACTTGATCCACACTTAAAAGCATCTCACACTTTGCCCCCGTCTTCTCAGTTACCTCAGAACGAGCCTGAGGGCCTGGCAGCAGGAAGCCATCAGTGAGCTTGTAGTAGACGACTGTGGAATCTGACTCCACTATGGCCAGAGTAAATGACATCGGCACATCTGGGTCACTGTGCAACTTTCGAGATGCCTTTAAGATCTCCCTTATCCTGAGAATAAATTTACAATATATTTAGGATTCACAGAATTATTCAATTAATAATAAAGGCAAAGACTGTAAAATGTGGAAGGTGAGCAATTACATTTGTACTGAGTTGAATATTTGTTTCCAAAAAACATAGATCCAATTCCTAATCTGTGGTACCTGTGCGATTGTTAGGTGTTGGGGAGTCGGCTCAGACTGACGCCCACCTTATGTGTAACAGACTAGAGAAGTGCCCAACGCCTCACAATTGCACTATGTTTGAGCTCGTTATTACAGCCTCCGGGTCAGTCCTTCTCATTGATGGCCTTTCCCCTTCTCGCGGACCCTTTGAAGTCTTCTGTTCAGCTCCTTGACTTCATCGTCTCCTCCCTTGGATTTAGCTGGTTGACACTAAAGATCAATTTTAACGTCTCTTCTGACATCCATTTTGGTCCTTTCCTTCGTACCTCTTTTTATTGACCTTCGTCTGCTTCGTGAACTCCTTGATGCCATGTCACGCACATCGTTCCCAGCCCCCAGTATTCCATGTGCCAGACTGCTGAATGAGGTGATCTCTAACATCTGCTGTGCGGTCACTGTGGCTCAGAAGCAACTCACACAGTCAGCCTGGAGTTTTTGTTCTCGTGGACTTGTTTTAATTTTCTCCAGCTTCAGCATGAACTTGTATATGAGCAATGGACGCTCTGTACTACAGTCAATCCCCGGCCGGATTCTGGCCAACAATGAGATAATCCATCAGTTCTTTCCAAAGATGCAGCTGATTTGATCCCTATCTACCATCCAGCAAAATCCATCTGTATGCTGTACAGTCACTGTTTAACTTCTTGAAAAGAAGATATTTACAATGAGGAAGCCAATGACTTTGCAAAATGTTATCATATGATCTCCAGTGTTATTTCTATCACCAATGCTGTACTTTCCAACTACTGATCCTTCTTTGTTCCAGCTTTTACATTCTAATCATCAATAATTATCCATGCATCTTGACTGCATGCATGCTTGATCAGTCTCAGACTGAAGAAGTGGAAGAAACCTTCAATTTATTCCTATTTAGCATGATGAGTTGGTACGAAAGTCTAAATAGTAGTTCTATTAACAAATCGTTTCTCTTACGTCACAAACTAGGACTCTACAAGGAAGTCATATTATCAAGAGCTGTGTTTGTCTTTCAGACGAGGTCTTGGAAGGTTTTATGATTTTCCATTCCCTGCATAGACCATATAATTGGCCAATTCAAAATGGCTAATACCAGTCCATTCCAGCTCAGTAATGACTAAAATATTGATCTTCATGCATTCCATTTCACTTTGACAACCTCTAATTTTCCTAGATGTATACTTCAGATATTGCACATTCTGATTATTAATCGATGCGTGCCACTGTTTCTTCTCATTTTACGTCATGCCACATCAGCAAATGAAAGTCCTGAAAAGTTCACTCCATCATGTATTAATGCTGACTCTCTAAGGAGCTGGTTCCGTGTCGGGTTTTGGCTGCCTTCCGATTGGAGAGGCTCATCTTCTGGCTCGTGCTAGAGAACGCCCTGCTGCTACTCATGTTTCTCTCAGCCAGTTTTCAGAAGGAGAGCCCCAGGTTCCTTCTTCCTAGGGAACCTCAGCTAAACCCTGTCCGCCTTGGGTGACTGCTCGCATGTGGGAAAACACCGCTTCCAGGACTGCAGCAGCAAGGAAGCCAGCACAGCATGGCAAACTGACAGGCACGCGGTGGTGGCACCTGTGAATGTGACCTTATTGGAAAACAGGGTCTTTGAAGATGTAAAACATTAAGGATCTTAAGATGAGGTCAACTTGGCTTTAGGGAGGACCCTAGATCCAATGCCGAATGTCTTTATAAAAGAAAGACGACTTAAGACTCAGGAGGGAAGCCCATGTGAGGTTGGACGCGCAGACTTGAAGTGATAGACTACAAACCAAGTAACCACCAGAAGTGCCAGCAGCTAAGGAGAGCCCTGGGGGCCCAGTAGGTTATAAGTTGGGCTGTAGCCGCAGTCAGAAGTTTGAAATCACCTGCCACTCCGAAGGACAAAGATGAGGCTTTCCACTGCCGTGAAGACGGACTGTTATGGGCAACCACAGGGGCAGTTCTCATCTGCCCTGTAGGGTTTCTAGGAGAAGGAGAAGAAGCACGGAATAGATTTCCCCGGAGAACCTCCAGAGGGAAATCTACTTCATAATGGATTTCAGGCCTCCAGAACCATGAGAAAAGAAATGTGTATTGTTGTAATCCCCTCCTTTGTGGTACTGTGTTACAGCAGCCCTAGGAAATCAAAGCGCATTGTATCCATACTGCTGGCTACATAAACCTCTGAAGACTCAAATATAAACATTTAAAGCTGTCTTCTCCATACGAGTCCTGCAAATAAGGACGACTTACTTAGTGCTGCTATTATACAAGTAACAGGAGTGGGTGCCTTTACAGGACATAAAGTTATTTTCTTGCAGCTCAACAGGCTAAAAGTACAGCTAGGGCATGATCCTCTAAGGAAGTCCTTTGTCGATTTCAGCTTCCTAGCTGCCAGCAAGCCTTGCAGATGTAGCTCTCTGTAATGCCTGTCTCTTCCTCTTCTCCCTGGGTGCTTTGTGTCCATTCTACTATTCTGATAGTCCAAAAGAGATTCATAATTAACACAAGAAAGGAAATCATATTACCAAACATTGTTTACCTATGTATAGGTATAAAACCTAAACCAAATCTACTGCCATGCAGTTGACGCCGGCTCACAGTGACGCTATATAGAGTTTCTGAGGCTATAACTCTTTCCTGAGGCAAATAAGCCCATCTTTCTCCCATGGGGTGGCTGATGGCTGTGAACCACTGGCTTTGAAGTTAGTAGCCCATTGTTTACTCACCAGCACCAGCAATTAGTGGCCAAGATTTAATGCATATTTAGAGGGATACAATTCAATCCATAGTACAGGGCTATCTACTGACTTTCGTCTTTATTTCCCCCCCCCATCTCTTGATCATCACCCCTGAGAGAGTCAAACAGCTCATGAATTTACAGATTGGTATTCATCTGTATTTTTATGCAAATCATGTTCACCTTGTATTTTTTGCCAATCATACCACTCCCCGCCCTATGAACTGTTTTCTGAAGTGAGACGGTTTTTTAAGATAGCAACATGAAAAAAGAGTGGCCTATCAATCGTACAAAACTACCTCTTTGGGGGAAGAGACAATGTATAAATATTAACTTATATAAAAATACTTATTTGTGTAATACTATGGCAATAGTGTTTAGTACATCTAAACCACTAAGGATCCTTGGTATTCATTTTCCAACTTACCAACTTGGTATATTAAGTATGTGTGGGTCATAATTTGGTTGTCTGACTTTTTGTTTGTTTTTAATAAACTACAATAAACATTTCCCCTACAGCCTTTATACTTTGAATTTTAATGGCTACAATTCCATTAAGTTGACAAAATTTCACTGTCTTTGCACTATTGCTGCACAATTCTTTCATTGGGGGGCGGGAGCAGGGTGGCTAATAAAATAAAGCTGCCCTGATGACCTTCCTACATATAGCTGCTTCGTTCTGTTCGCTAAACTTATAGAACAAGCAATCAGTCCAATGAAGAACTACACTTCAGCTTTCTTGCTGTGGAAAATAACATACCAAACCCAACAGGTTGGTCTTCAAAGCACTATTCATCTTAATTTACCACAAACTAAAAATCCTTATTACTTACTCGGTCCCGCTGGGTTCAATAATTCAGCAAAATACAACCTCCAGAGGAACTTTCTTAAAAAGGTATTTCTTAAAAAATAAAACAATGATCAGTTTTTTTTGGTGTTGGTTGGTTTTTCATTAAGTCAACCAATTCTCTCTCCAGAAATTGTGGGGGGGTGTGTGTGTGGTGGTTTACTAGCATATTAACTTTCTACAACTGAATACATAAACAATTTACAAGTATATTCTCCTTAATGAAAGTGTTATTTCTCCTTTTAAGTCTCCACTTCTCAATCTCAAGTAAAAATTCTATGGTCTCTCTTTACCTGTTCTATTTGCTATTGCACCTAAATAGAAAAATCTCTGCTGCGAAATATTATCACAATTATCATACTTTTTATCTGCCATAAAGACTGTAGATTTTAAGAGTAACTTCAAACAGCAATAAGCTTCGAGAAGAGTTCTTGCTCTTCTAGAAAGCCACTGCCAAATCCACCCCTACTCATGGTACCCATGAAAAAACACAGCTCTGCCTAGGCCTGTACTAACCTTGTGATTGGTTAAAGACTGAACGACTGCAATGTGTAGGCGTTTCATTGGGCTGAATGAGGGGAGTAGGGCTGCCTTTCTTCCTCACTGACAGCGAGTGGATGCAGACTCACAGCGACCCTATACGACAGGGTAGAACTGCCCTGTGAGTTTCCGAGACTGCAACAGTTTACCGGAGTAGAATCAAAGCCCAACTAGTTGCCACGACGCCACCAGGGCCCCTTCGCCTTTCTGCCTATGCTGTCTTATTCTGGAAGCTCTGCTTCATCCTGTGCAGCCCACAGCAGCACACAGCCTCACTGACAGAAGGAGTGGTTGTGCACGTTGAGTGGCTGAGACTCAAACCCAGGCTCCCACATGTAAGGTCGGAAGTCTACCACTGAACGGCCACGGCCAGAGCGACAGCTGGCTAGTAAGACAGCAGTTATACAAAGCTGCTGACCTATCATTTAAGTTCATCAAGGCTATCATTATTCGTGGAGAGAACGAGCATATAAGTCTGTTTCCTCACATTCACAGATGACAGGACCTCGTCTACACAGAAAGCTGTTAAAGAGAATGAATTCACACAAAAGTGGCAGAGCCAAGGTTAACATGCAAAAATCAGCTGGGTTCTATATACCAACAATGAGCAATCGGGAAGGGAGATCAAGAAGAAAAAAAATCCACTTATAATAGCATGTAAAAAAGTAAAAGACCTAAGAATACATTTAATCAGGAAGATAAAAGACTTGTACATTACAAACTATAAAACATTGCT